AGAAAAACGAACGAGGTGAGAATCCCCTATTGCTTAAGAAACTGTGTTAAGTATTCAGAGCATCATTATTTGCCCATCGACTGTTGGACAGAAAGTAAATCATGGTATAACCCAAAGGAACCTATTGCTATGTAGTCGACACCACCTCACAGTAACTCGGGCCCACAGGCCAGAGCCAAACTGCTCTCCAAAGGGCTCCAGGGAACCACTCCACAGGGAGTTGGCTGGTGGATTCAAATTGTCAACCTTTTGGTTAGCACCATAACCCTTTATCCACTGGGCCCTGAGGGTTTCTTCATTGCTACATAGTATACTATACTTTAAGGTGTCCCAGTGGTTAAGCATTAGGCTGCTAACAGAAAGGTTGCCAGTTCAAATCCACCAGCTTTGTTGGAGGTGAAAGATGAGGACTGTCTACTTCCATAAAGATTTCCAGCCTCGGATATCTTTTGGGGCAGTTCTACTTTCTCAAAGGGTTGTCATGAGCTGTGAGTGGGTACAGAACAACACACATGAATAACTACAGCACATTAAGGATCAATCTCATAAACAAAAGTGAAAGAATCCATTATCTTCTAAAGAATATAATCCATTATCTAAAGAAATATATAACCTCCTCACTGATCAGCCATCTCATTAATCTACATTTCATATTTACAACAGTAAAAAAAAAAATCTACTATCTTGCTCAGTAACAACGTACATCTCGCAACTAAAAACCCCAAGGTGTGAAGTATGGGCAAGAGGAGCTGTGATGGTTCTGGCTGTGTCAACTTGTCGGGATCATGAATTTCAGTGGCTTGGCAGCTAAGTGACGACACAACTTGGCAGATGGGTAATGATGCGGCCTTTCTCCATTTCCACAAAATGCCCCGGTCTTTGGAACTTAACCATGTAGGTACCTGGGTGTATTTTCCTCGATTCTATTCATATAACGCTCCAAAACAGGTAAAACAATACAGTTGATTTGGAACTATTGTCACAGCAATGTTCACATAGGCGCGACGAAGAAGTGATTGGAATTTGTATGGAATGGCAGGGGGCAGTAGGAAATCTCTACACTGACTAGGGTGGTAGCTACATGAATGTTTGCTTTCACAGTCCATTGAGCTGTGCATTATGTTGTGTTCACTTTTCTTTACATGTGTGATATTTTATAACACTAAAAGTCTAAAAACAAACAAATCACCACAAGATCAATATGCAGTCACATGGGTCCCTGCTATAATGTGTACCCAATTCAACTCTTCCACTTGTTAGGAGCCAGGACAGAAAGTAATTTCTTGCTTTCATTTTATTGTCTATTTAATCAAGTACAATGCTTTGCTAGAAGGTAAATGTTAATAGGGCAGGTGGAACTATTTTAAACATGAAGAAGGTTGGTCTCACGACTATCGGCAATAGGCAATATAGAAGATGGCAACTTAAACACAGAGGGAGGCCAGATGCCTAAAACTACATTCAGAAGTGGTGACATTAATTTTTTAAAGTATTGATGAAACTACTATTTGTCAAGTTTGGGTGCTATAGCAAAGAAGTTATCTGGAATGATATTAAAATCTTCCATCAACTGAAGTCTTCTTAAAGTCAGCCTGCCTATTTGAGCATTCCTCTATTTTAACACCAGTCTACATGGGATCCAAATTCACAATACATATTTGAAAGACTGGATAGAGACCTTCTGGGGCAATGAGTTTGTTAATATGAGAAGGTGCAAATGGTTCTACAGTTGGAAGAATGTAATTAGTTTCACTAAGTTTTACAAGTAGAAACTCTTTCACTACATATGCTCTCAACAAAGGAAAATTAGAAAAAAATTTCCTTTAAAAAAAGTGGCAGCATGAAACACATGGAGCAGACACACACGCACGCACGCACACACCAGAAAGCCTACAGAAAATTCACAATTGGTGATACGGTAATGGTTAAAAAGTGGATGTGTGAAACCGCAACTCTTGGATGATAAATAACATGCAGACTGGAAAAATTACTAGGGGATGGTTTTACTGATCATAATGCAGTCACAGATAGAATGTAAATAAACTAAGGTGGCTCTAGTGAGTCTTTTATTTACACACAAACAGCTTTCCCAGTGTTATTTTTCTAAATTCCAAAAGCACAGGAACAAAATCGGTCTTAGCCTGGCATTTATTTCAACTGCTAAGAACTATGAAAACAGGCAATGGTTAATCATAGGTAAAACCTAATTAGAAACGATTTCTACCCACCCACCCCCAGTCCCTCATCACTTACTAGAAAAAAATATATCCTGAGCCCCTGTTCTCAATGTTTTTGGTAAGGATAATTCTGAACATTCAGGGGGAAAAAACACACACACAAAAACTGACATAAGAAAAAGAGAAAATTATAATAAATCTTTATTAATAAACTCCTACTATCTCTTCAACATATGATGCTTGAGAAAATAGAACATCCACTTGCAAAATAATGAAGTTATCTTACATCTTAATCAAACATTTAACTCAAAATGGGTCACAGACCCAAATCTAAAGGCTAACGCTATAAAATTCTTAGGAGAAAACATTGAGGGAAATCTTCAAGGTGTTGGGTTTGAAAATGGTTTCAAAATGCTCAGGCAATGAAAGAAGAAGCAGATAAATTAGACTCCATGAAAAGTTATTTCCATCAAAGACTACTACCAAGAGAGTAAAGGACCAACCCCTTAGAACAGGAAAAAATATGCATAAAGTATGTATTCTCATAAGGGTTTTACTTATCAGGGTATACAAAGAACTCTTACAACCTAAAAAAAAGACAAGCAACTCAGTTTAAAAATCGGCCAACACAATAGTTGGCCAAGACACATTAGGGAAAAATATATGAAGAACTCAAGGACTGTAAAACAGGCAAACAAACAAACAAACCTGGCATGGTAGAGAACAGAGGGATCCCTGACACTGCTGGCCTGACACACACCATATGCCAAGAAGGAAACCCAGTCTGAGGCCGCCTTTTAGCAGTACAACAGAGTGATACACAACACAGAAGGCGTTACTAACATAATCTGTACCCTTCTTAAAAACCATCAGTATGAGACCAAAAGGTGAACAGTGTCTGAGACGCAAATATGAAAAAAGGGCAAGGACACAAGAGTACAGGTCAGGAAAGAGCACAGTTAAAGACGTTGTTGACACACTGAACTAAGTAGAACACTGAACAGTTTGTGTGGAAATGGTCCAGGGGGAGGCCAGTCGGCTGTACAGATTTCTCCCATAAGGTATAACTCATATCGCCCCTGTGGATCAGAGCAGCACTGTTTTCTCCAGCAAAGCAGCTAACGGGTTTGAATTACCAACCTTCCGGCTTGCAGCTGAGCATTTAATTACTGCACCTGAGATATAGTCTATTAACATGGCCCTTTCGATAATAATCGCTTATGTGCTGTAATTAGAATTCAGGGCTCTCTTCCCACTTGGGCAGAAGTTGTTACAGGGTTCAGGTGGGGTTCACCCTGACCTTAGTAGATGGTGATCAAGTACACATTCTTTGTTTCCTCGAGGGCATCTTTCTATTTTACTGAAGGGTGGGACTTAATATGCCATCCTTGGGGGTATGATTGGCTAACAGACAAGACAGGAAAAAAGCACAACAAAAACCCATCAAAGCCTTTTCTGTATGAGAGTCACCTGAACACACAGGAAAATCGCATGTCCAAGATGTGTGTCTGAAGTGGCAGAAGACAATGAGGCTGGATGCATCAGAGACTTTGGCAAAGAGACTCAGAGGAGCAGAGGCTAAGCTGTGGGGTAGCTTTTATCTGGCCCAAGACTGTGGGGCAGTGAGACACTGTGTCAGGAGGGCTGGCTTGCTGGTCCACAGAGGCGGGAGCCAAGGGACCATGTGGCTAAGAGGCCGAGGACTTGAATGAAACTTGGTTGCTGGGAGGAGAAGAGGTACTGCTGTGAACCAACAGCTGCTGCATCCTTACTGTTTACTGATCTTGACTTGCGGTAACCTATTAACTTCCCTAATAAAGCCCGTAATGAATATTGTAAGAAAAATGTAGTGCTACTCTGAGTAGTCTGTGGTCACTGTAATGAACTATGGAACTCAGAAGAGATGTAGTAATTTGGGAGGCCTGGGTGGTGTCAGAACAGGTAAAGGATGGAGGGATATGCACCCTGCTCCCTCACTCAGGGCAATAAGGAAGCTGGAGGAGGTCTGACATGTCCACCTTCATACTGTTTACCACCATGGTCTCCTAATAAAAACACGGAAAGGACCTGAATAGCTATTTTTCCTAAGATATACAAATGGCCAATAAGCACATGAAAAATATTGACGGACACCATTGGTCATTAGAAAAATGCAAATCAAAACAATGAAATACATCACACTAACCAGATAGCCATAATTATTATTATTATTATTTTAAAGGAAAATAAGGTTGGCAAGCAAGCGGAAAAACAGAGACCCACTGCTGATGGGACAGTTCGGAGATGCAGAGACTATGGCCAGTAATGTGATGGTTCCTCAAAAATACAAGAGAGCTGTCAGCTGGCCCAGCAATCCCACTCCTTGGGCTAGACCCAGAAGAAATGAGGTGCGTGGGATAGTCACAGCAGCATTGTTCACTACAGCCAAGAGGGAAAAAACCACCCCCATGTCGACTAACGGGCAAATGGACATAGTGAGGTATATAAAGGAAGAGCATTCAGCCAGGAAAAGAAATGGCAGAACAAAACCAAACCAACTGCCAACAAGTCAATTCTGACTCATAGAGACGTTATGTTCCAAAGCGGATGAACCTTAGAAGCAGGCTAGATGAAATAACCATGACACAAAAGAACAAATATTCTAATATTCCTACCCTAGATCCCTAGATGAAAGACAAGAAGAGGTAAATTCACAACTAGAAAGGAGACTAAAGTTTCCCTGGGGCTAGAGGCAGGCGGGAGGGAGGAGGTTTTCAAGTTCTGAATTCACAGAAACATTTTCAGAAGGTCAGAAAGGAAGACTCCATGAGAGCAACTTCATACCATAAGGCTTTTCTTCTGTGACTTTCCCGGTAGAGTCCAGAGTATCAGTGGCCTTCCCAAGTTCTCCGATGGCTATATACCTCTAGAAGAAAACAACCAAGAAGAAAATTAGCAACCAAGTAAAGAAAATATTCAGCGTATTTTGAAGTGGGTATATACATTTTGTTAGTAAAATCAGCATATTAAAAATTAAGGCAAAAATAAGAGACACCCATTGTTTGTTTTTGATATGCAGGAAGTAATGTGAAAGTGAGGTACATATACAGATACTGCCCACACTAGCCACATGAAAGAAATGCCAGATTTTATTGATAATTGTGGATTACAAGTACTGATACTTTATACAAATCTTCTAAAACCAGTTTTAGTTTTGCTTATAGAAAACAATTATACAATAACCTCCCACATAGCCACCCTCATATTATTAAACCACACAAAATTAAAGGTCATAGGAAAATAAATCCATGTACCATGGCTTGTATGAAGTCACTTAAATCTCAGTTAAGTGCTGTGCCACGCCTTCAAACAAAAGTTAAAGAGGGAGAAAGTAAGCAAAGCGAGTGCAGCAGAGGAGGTAGCACACAAACCACTACAGGTACTTCCTCGGTGCAGAGAAACCCACGCTGCTTAACCTCTGCAAGGGAAAAACTCACTTCCAACAACAAGCAGGCATCTTACATTCTTAAGCGTTCTTTGAGGACATCACCTTCAAATGACATAGCACAGAATCACTTTTTATTTTAAAATGGAAAGAACAGTAAGTACCTCATGAGAAGGAGCGTAATTTAGAATGGGACCTGGCCCTCGTTTCATTACTGTCATTTAATAAAAAGATCTGTCTGATTCACAGAAACGGGGCTCAGCTGGTTATACTGAGTCCCTAAGGTACAGTAATGCCCCAAGACGCTCTAGACTCTTGCCTTCACCGTCTAGTCGTGTTAAGAAAAGCACACTGCAGTCTTGTTCCAACCAACCCACAGTGCCTCGCCTCGGTTAAACTCATGGAAACCGTACAGAGAAGTGCTATTCTGCACGCATGGGGCCTCCAGGAGTCAGCTGGTGCAGGCAATAGTACAGACGACATCAAGTTGTTCCCAGGAACCTCGGCAGCCACGTACTCAAGTGCGCACTCAAGCCCACAATTCTTCCCAGGGCTACAAACAAGTCGACAAACAACACTCCCGAACTTTAAAAACTACTTTTGCCAAAAATAGAGTCGACATACACCCTGCTCACATACCCAGAGAATCAATCTGTGAAATGTACACTTCCCCAAACTGGGTTTCTGTAACAAACCGCACCTGGGATTTTCTATTTATGCCCCACTGTCATCTGAGAATCAGCGATTTTATGGTTTGACATTCAGTTTTCCAGCTGACAAAATGGGTTTGTGACAAATTAAACTGAAACCAAAGTCAATGAATGATGCAGGTACAGTTTCAGTCATCATACTTTATAAAACTTTCAAATAACATATTTGGGTGTGTGTGTGTGTGCGCGCGCACAGGGCAGAGGGGATTGTTAAGTATAGAATGAATATTCCAGTGAAATCAACATATAATTTGTATCTTGGGGGAAAAAACAAATATTTCTTAACAT